CAGAAAAGTAGGGCAAAGAAACCTCAAGCATGAAAGATAGGTTGTTCTTCACAGCCACATGAGATGATGCAATCTTCTTGGCAGGGGGGAAAAAGGACCAGGCCAGCCCCCATCGACATGTTTGGCCTTGAACAAATTCAGTTGTCTTTACCACGGTAGCTCCAACTTCCCAAAGCTTTGATGTTAGGATTTTGAGGTTGAATTTCCTCCCAACCATTGATGTGTACCACCTGAAAGTCAAGGGTGAGACATAAGCGCTGAGTTTCTAAGAAAACTACCTTGGGACAGAGGAGATTTGGGAAGAGCATAAAAAATAATTTTACCGAAAAGTATGCTTCAACGTGACACTATCTTCAATAATGCGAGTGATGAAAGCCTTTTCTCCACCAGGACAAATCATCTCCATTGGGGTCCCACCACATGAAGTTTTTGGATTTAGTCCTGCTTCCTCCATGGTCTCAAAAAATGGAGGGTTACACATGCAGAAGTCAAACTCCTCACCCTCCCTAACCACACCGAGAAGAATAGGTGGCCCACAATACCTCTTATTTGCATTAGGATGCAGATTGGAGGAATTGGATGAAGAGGAAGGTGAAAGAGCTGTCTCCCTTCCCATATTTTCAGTCAAATCTATTTTGCTTGAAGTACTAACCAACATCTCATTGTGTGATCCTTCCAGTGGAAGGATCTCTTTGCCATTTTCAACCTTTCTAATTTCAATTAGTTCCGAGATATGTGGATTATCTCTAACATTTTTCTCTGCCCACTCGAGTGCTACATCAGTCACATCTGCAACCAAAGTCAATATGAATTTTTGTTAGGTTCTAAGCAGACATTAATATATTAAAAAATCCAAGTATGTACTAACTAAAACAACTAATGAACAACCTGACCCAACAAAACTCCACCCCAGAAGAGATGCACCAAGAAGTGGATATATGCAGTTTGCTCCAGTTCCGATATCAAAGCCCCTCACTTTATCACCACCATTGCTTGTAGGCTTCACAATGATGTCAGACGAGAGAAGATCTTCAATCCAATGAATGTAATTCGATCTATTGGGCACTGTAGGGCATAGCTGCCCATCAGGAATCCACCTGGGAAATCAAATGCACATTCAACGTACTACATATACGGACCGCCATGACAATTCAACTTCATTAACTGAATAGACTTCAAATATTCAAGTTAAACTAAGATGATACTACAACCGGGGGTATCTTTAAGTTGATCAAACAAGTAAAACTCAAAGGCTGCCATACTTCATGTCTAACTTTTGAACCTAAATAAGGTGGCAGTGGTTTTGAATTCAGTGATAGAACTAAAAGCATTGGATACAGCAGACACACAAAATCTGTAGAATGAAAGCATATTCAGCTAAAAGAAGAAATTGGGCAGCCTCAAAGTCAAAACAATTAAGAAAACGAAAAAGATACAAGCTTTCAAATAAAAAAACAGAAACAAACCAGAGCACCCACATTCACAACTCTGTATTCTAAATTCCAACAACTACCCAGGTAACCAAACTAGATTTTGAATAAGAGAAGTTACCAATTGAGGCGGTGGTCGTGGAGGAGCAGGACCCGGGTGAGTTCCCGGGTGGCATTGAAGTCGGTCCAGTCGATTCTGGGTCGACCATCTCGGGAAAAGAAGACGAAGGGCTTGAAAGAGGGGTAGAGAGAAGCCAAGTGAGCGAAGTCGGGTGGGTTCTCGGAGTATTTGTTTCTCGGGTGGACCGTGGGTCGTTCCTCCCTTCTCCTCCTCTTCTTCTTCTTATTCTTGTTCGTCAACATTTCACATTTGGCTCTGTGAGACTTAGCCCATGAGCTAAATAAGCCAACCATCAATTTATGGCCTTCTATGTCTGAGTCGCTATCATCATCCCCACGCAAAATAGCATCATTGAACTCCTTCACTCGTTCATCCAGCTTTTCCACCTGTTCGTCCAGCTTATCCAGTTCACTGTTTTTCATGGGGTTTAATTTAAGAGATGAAAAGAAAATTGAGATTGAATGAGAGGTATGCTGAGAAGGGTGTTACTTGGGGTCTTGCAGATGGCTTGGGACAAAAGGGTATTTGACTACCTGCTGAAGGAGGGAGGAGGGAGGAGGAGAACTCTGGTGTTTCTAGTTGGCAATTTCATCTCTCCCTCCCGCATTCATAGAGATCACACAATGTGGCCGTTAATGGGCTAGCCAGCTTCAATTTCGGCTCAGCTCAATGGGCTTAGTTTTGGGCTTGCAAGTTGGATCTCATCTCTCCCCAAAGTTCTTTTGTAGAGGTGATCCATTTTGTATGGATACAAATACGAGATATGAAATACGATGCCGCACAATACGAGTATACATTAAAGTTTGAGTCAATGAACGGGTATTTATTGGCTCAGCCTCATAGGGTACATGTATTGTATATTGTAAGATCCACTTGCGTAGACAACTGACAACTATTTGAAGCTGAGCTAATGAACCTTTTTCTTCTTCTCCCAAATATGGATAGACTCGGGATTTCAAAATAAGGTGGGGTGGCTACATTTACTTTACAGGTGAGCTGTTAGATTTTAGGCCATGTTAAACTTTATAGTAATTTTAGCTTACCCCCTTCAAATTCAATTTTCCTTACCTGCAACCCTTCACTTTTTGTTTTTATAAATAACATCCAATGTTTATAAGTAAAAACCTATGACTAGGATACAACTCATCAAATTACTTTATCAAGCTCAAGATCTGATTTATTATCATTTTTAATCTCCCAAAATACCCCTATTTAAAATTCAACGTTTTATGTGGTGGTATTTTAAATTTGGTTCCCCAATTTATTGTGGTGATTCCCTCCAAAATTTTGATCTTTAATCAATCATCATTAATTGTCCGTTTATTATGGGTATCATATTCAATGTACCTATTTTTTAATATAGAAATAATGAAAAATAGTTATGTTATTTTGTAAATATGTTTTTAATTCATAAAAAGTGTTTAAAAAAAATTCTATTACAAAGTAGCATACCTATTTTTGTATAGAAATAATGTACCTATTTTCTTACATAATAGGTACAAAAAATTCATTTATTCAAGCTATATATATATATATACACACACACATAGAATCATCTAATTAACGTGCCAATTTTTTATACGAGTATTGTACCTATTAATGTACCATTTTTCCTATGAGTATTGTACCTAATATTAGAATATATATTATACATCTATATTATTGGAGGATATTAGGTAATGTTTAAATATAATTGGAGAATGTATAATAAAATTCATTTCTTCGACATATAGGAGGTTAGAGTATCTACAATCATGATCCCTATTTTTTAGTTAAAATTTAGCTAAAAACACACAAAAGTTATTTTAGTAGCTCTCTATAAAATTTGAACTTTAATCATACTCTCTAGTTTCAGGAGTCATAAATACTATAGTTATTTTTTAATTCAATATGATTGGTTCATCTCTTTTAAAAATAATATAAAAATATAGTTAACATTAATTAAAAGTTTAAACTATGCATAAAACAAAGCAACATTAAATTATATGGAGCCACTAGAAGTCATTTTTCTCTCCTCATATTTAGAAGCTCCTAGAGGTCTTCTTATTTTAGGAGGTGGATAGAGAGCGTGGTTGGAGTTGTATTTTTCAAATTCCTTCCTAAAATTTGTCTAAGAATGTGGTTTAAGGAGCCTATTGTGAATGCTCTTAAGAGGGAATATTTGAAGTAATTTGATTGTAGCCCATTATTTATGAGAGTGGAAACATGAATGTGCAATGAGTTATTATTCGTTTGCCTTAATTAGGTGATTGGAAAACGGTTAGCAACCAAATAAAGATCTAGTGACATAATTTGTAAATAAATCAACCTACATGGACACATTTTATCCCACTTTAAAATTTAGTTTTACTTAAACATTGTATTATTGTTAGGTCATTCTCTAAAGTTTTTAAGTTATAAAACCTATATGCTAACTCGTATGCGTTCCTCACCACCGTCATGCACATGAAGCAAGGATCTAGACAACTGTTGAACATTCGTTTCTACTACATTACAAGACTTCGTTCTCAATCTAAACCCAAAAAAAATTCAAGATCAAGGAGGGAAAAAATCAAATGCAAAAACATATGAATTCAAGTACAATTCCTAAAGTTCAACAGGAACACAATCACCAATTAAATTAAGCCACCGAATACCTTGGCCATATAGGGTACATGCCTTTATTTTACTTTTCCTATCATTTTCTGTCCTCCCACCTAGGTAGGCGCACAAGTTGTGGACCCAAAAAGACTCCTAATTTATCGGTTCTTTTTAAATAAAGTGGACTCCTCCACTTTACAAAAGTTGGAAATATTTTTCTCACAACTTTAATTTAAGATGCATATTTATCATTATTTTTAGCATTTTATATTTGTTTGTGGACCTAATCATAATTAATTTTTTATTTTATATTTATAGAATCATGGTTATACTCGTGAACCTGTGTTAAATGTTAAAAAATACGATAAAAGTACACTTTAAATTAAAATAATGAGTAAAAATGTTCTCATAAAAGAATGCACAAGTCCAAGAGACCAAATGGTAGGTGAGGTGGGGCCAATGAAAAATAGATAGGCCAAGGAACAACTCACAAGTAGATAGTCATATTATTACAATGATAAAAAGAGTGGGTCCAACTTTATCTGTATATACAACAGTAAGGAAAAGTGGGACCCGTGAAGAAAGGAGATGTTTATCCATATCACCTGAGTCAGCACAGTGCAGCATCCTATATGGATAAACCCTTTGCATGGTTGTAACTTACAAGAACAACACAATTTTGTGTACAATCCGTGTTATTAATTATCTTCGCATCAAAGAAAAATGTAGATCATATAAGAAAAAAGGAAATGATATTTAATAATGCAGATAGAAGTTGGTTTGTGGATCATTTATATGTAGAACTGTGTGATTTAGTAAATTATAAGTAAATCTCGCATATGTGTAATCATCGACAATATATATCAATATTGCATTATAGGAATCAAATCTCGCATATGTGTAATCATCGACAATAGATATGAATATTGCATTATAGGAATCAATTTATGTCTATTAGGTTTTCCAGCTCTATATAAACCAACACACACCTCTCTCATATTAAACTCCTTAAGCCCTCAAACACTACACTACCTTAACATTTGCCTCAATCCTCTTACCTCAATTTCCTGCCTCAAAACCCAGCACTTAACCAACAAGGTTTCAAAACCCCATCCATGGCTGCAGTTAGTTCTACTTCCACACTGTACGACGTTCTTGGCCTCACAATGGGTGCAAGTGGGCATGAGATCAAGGCAGCCTACAGGAGGCTAGCCAGAAGCTGCCACCCAGATGTTGTGGCCATGAACCAAAAACAAACGTCCGCTAATGAGTTCATGAAAATTCATGCAGCTTATGCAATCCTATCAGACCCTGATAAAAGAGCAAACTATGATAGGGATCTCTACAGGTGTCCACAGCCTTTTCGCTCTTCTTCGTATTCGTCGGCGAGCATGGCGGCAGCAGCCTCTGCAATGGCGGGGTCTTCGAGACGGACTTACCGGAATTGGGAGACCGATCAGTGTTGGTAGCTCAAAACAGAGAAAACAGGGGAACCCCCCTTAAGTGCTTATATATTTTATGTAACAATATTGCTGCTTCTTTTCTTTATGATTTTTTTGGTGGGCAAATGTTGTCTGAAATGAACAGAACATCAAACATGACACATCAAGACCAACTAACCAACTAATAATTAAGAGATCCCCCTAGCATTATTTATTTGTTTTATGGATTTTTTTAAGATTAAACTAAGGGGTGACACATGCACAACAGCATCAAGAACATTTAATAATGGTGAAAAAATAAAATTTAAAAAAAAACCAGATAAAAGAAACAAGTTATTCATCTGTGGCCACAAATCAGTCTGTTATCAACTATATAAGTCACCATCAGGCATGAATTCACATGGAGCACCTCCCTTTTGGTGTCATTGTTTCATTTTTCTTTTCTTGCTTGGACCAGAACAATCCAAATTCAACCTTATCTGGTTTCAATCTAAGTGCTTTCTATTCTTTGATGGATAATTTGATTGGTAATTTCAAGAGAGATTAAAATATGGGTGTGGAAGATTGAGGCATTGGGGGTTTCTTTCACTACTGTATTCAATATCCAATCCAACAAGTTAAACTATTAGATGGAGAAGTCCAAATTAGTATTTGAAGCTCTTGAGATCTCTATTTTTTGAATATTTTTAGAGTCGTCTGATCTTGAATTATGGAGTCATTCTATATAGTGAGGGTTTTATCTAAGGTCATATTTCTTAATCGTTGAATCAAACTAACCAATTTGATTCAATAATTAACCGATTTGATCTTTGGTTAAGAGATAATGTTTTATTTAAGGACCTTATAGAATTCTGCTAAATTATGTCTAAACCTATTTTCATTTTGGGCTTGTTCTCAAATTAGGACCACCTTCAGTTATGGGCTTATATTGTCTCCAGGCCCCTGTTGAGACTTGAGAATCAATGAAGGCCTCCCTTCATCAAGCCTTGTTTGTCATCACAATCCACAAATTTTCATGGGGAATGGCCATATGGTAAGTAAGTCACCATGCCATAATTGGTCTACTTAGACCATCTCCAATCCAATGGGTGAAAACTCAAATTTTGAGTTTTGAGTCCAAAATTCATCTCCAAAGCATGTATTTTCACGGGTAGAAATTTGAGATGGTGGAATTTTGGGTGGAATTCCAGTCTGGGTTCTGCCTGGACTGGAAATTTTTTGTGGACCCCAACTCATGCTGCACAGCCCATATGAAGAGGAAAAATGGAGTGGGCCCTGCGCGGAAGAAAGTTGCAGCACTCCCTTTGCTTTTGCATGACAAGTGGCAGCTCACCATTTGTAGTTATTGTTTCTTTCATTTTTTTTATTTATTAAACTTGCAACTTAAAGTTGCTCTGTTTGGAGTAAAAAAAAAAATTTATGTTTTGAATTTTGGATTTTTTTAGGTTAAAATGTTTAGAAAATTAAATCATGAATGTTGAAATAAAAATAATATCAAGAAAAATTAATGGCAAAAAAAGATTGAAGGCTAACTATTTTTAAACAATTTAGATAAAGTAGTAGACTCAAATTATGAGTCTACAAGGTTGGAGGAAAAAACAATTTGAGTCCTAAAAATACATGAATAGTTGTATTTTAAAGGTTGAAAATTTGAGTTTAGCCTCAACATGGTTGGAGATGGTCTTACGATTCCCCACCTTCCAAGAAAGGAGGTCAGTATTTTTTTTTACGAGAGACTCATTTTATCTTGGCACTCAAAAAAAGAAGAGACAAAAAGGAACCCTTTAGTCAATTGATGAGAGGAATCACTTCGATGATGGTGGAGAATCAGAGTTACAGTAGCAGCAATCATACCTCTTTAAAGGTGGAAATTTTTAGAGTTTTTAACATACAAGAGAGTCCAAAAGAGAAGTTATTTTTAGGTTTGTTATGGATCAAGTGTGTATAATGTATGTTATGCTTGTTATATTTCCATGTCGAGGTATTGTGAAAATCATGAAATTCTAACTTCTAAGTTTTTAGATTATGGCTTGTGTCTAATTATGAACCTACTCAATATACTTTTCACCTTGCGTTTAGATGAGGGAAATATGTCATAATTTAATTACAAGTATATAATTTAATAGGAGAAATTAACAATTCCCTTGTTTTGTAATTTAAGCACAAAATTTATTAAATGACACGCGGAAAAAATCGTGAAAATTGGAGCATCAAATTTCCGAGTTTAATTTCCACTAAAATATGTGTCATTTCACAATTTCCATAATGTCATTCAGGAACATACCCATTCCCAAGCTAGTCTGGGCTATAGCCCAGGTGTCTTGATTTATTTTAGCCTATAGTAATACTCCCAGCCCACCCAAGCAAACCCCACACACCCTCTTGCATAGAAAACATCCATTAGCCAATGCACGCACACAAAAAAGAAAAGAAGAAAGAGCCAATCATCCCTGCTACACGCCAATTAACCATGCCCTTCAATGCTTAATTAAAGCAAACCAAATTAATCTTCAATTATTAATCTTCTTTTATTGTCTTAATATATTGATGTTGAAATTTTGGTACTTTTTAGAGTTTATGAAGTATCAATTAGGGATTTACAATTTTTTTATTGAAAAAAATTATATTTATATATATATATTTTTTTTGACTTGGCCAAAACATTTTTTTGTACAGGTTTTGTAATTAAAAATAAACAAATAAAAGTAGGAAAGCCCCTTATAGTCCCCTAAAATTCCAATATATTTTTAATTATAATCATTCATGTTTTACGCTATAAACCCTTAATAATTTATACATTTTTGGAAAGAAAAAAATAGCTTCTACATTTCTAATTGTTTAATTAGTATGAGTTTATTTCTTTTGTTGGTTAGTGTGAGTTTTTGTTTTGATTAATTAATATAGGTTTTGTGTTTTAAAAAAATTGGAAATTTGTACACATCGATCCCACTTATTATGTTCCTCCCTTCAAGGCTTGTACGTAAGGTAAATATAGCCAACCCTAATTTGAAATCCTAGGTCCCTCCTTGGTGCCATTTACAAAATTCTGTCATTTACAAAATTCAACATACATAAATCCAAGCACTGATATCTTCAATTGCCATAAATTGAAATGATGGAAATCTAAATTCTGTCATTTTCAATTCCTTCATCCAAACGGAAGGTTGGAATATCAATGATAATTCCTCCCTCGTTACTACTAGAGTAATTCCAAAATTGGTGTACACCATCGGCCTAAGCAAGAAATTATTCAGCTAAGCGTCATGTACTGGAAAAAGCTTGTACATACATAATTAGAACTCTCTCGAGTCATGAGCAATTCTTTCGTTACACAGTTTAGGAATAGAAGTGAATCGAACTCCATATGCAGTGGCTCTGGCGCCCCCCCCCCCCCCCCCCCCCCCAAAAAAATTTATCATCCTGTATTATATTATATATAATATATAGAATTTGTAATAAACAACTTAGAATTTAAGTTAAAATTTCATCCAAAACAAATTAGACATTATTCAATTAGAAATATTTAGCTATAAACATGTAAGTATTGAATACTTTGGTGTTTTATATACTTGTATTTTCTACTTCGGCCCCCCATAACTTTACAATTTTAGTTCCGCCCTATCCATATGGCCAATAGGAAAATAAAACAAAACCATCTTCTGTCATATTCATAATGAAGTACATTGATATCCACACAATTATTAAACTGGTTGGAGAAGAAGAAGCACAACATCAATTATTAAATTAGCAAGTGACTTAGGTTTCTAATGTCCCTATCTAGATAGCAACTAATTAGCACATGTAAATTGGATTGATTGAACATATGCCACGTACCCTAACCCGCTATCTGATTCTTAACCCAGTTCATGAAGCAAGCCAGTCACAAACTTTGGTTTCTTGTAAATTCCACAGAAAAAGCATCCAATGTTTTCATCACCGATTGGTCTAGCAGTTTTCAAACAGCCCGACAAGATAAGCAAGGATGAAGAGGAAAGTTCCAAGTCTTAAAAAAAAACATTTGTAAATTGAGCTTAGACCCATAAAATTCATTTTAAATAACCTACAACCCTTTTCTTTATTTTTTCTATTTAAAAGACCTAATTTTTTCAAATAATATCCGATGACAATGATACAATTAAGCAAGTTACCTAATATAACTTAAAATCTAATTTTTTGAATTTTTTGGATTCCAAAACTACCCCTGTTTATAAGTTAATGTGTTATTGGAGGGAGGGTGTAACTAATGACAAACGTTGAATTTGGAAAGATCTCCAAATAGTTGTAATTGATATATGAATTTATTTAGAAACTTATTTGAAATTAAATATTAAATTCAACATTAACATATTAGTAATTTATGGGTGATTAACATTTTGGTTTATTTAATACAAAAATTATGTTGTTTTCCTTTTATGAACCTATTTCCTCCAATTAGGTTCCCTGCCAATTAGTAATAGACAATCCCAATAACAAAATTGACAAGTCTGGAGTACATTTAAATTGTCTACATTGGGGGGGGGGGCCCTTACCCCCCCTGGACAGGTTCGAGGAGAACAGAGGAAAATCCATAGCATTCCATCAGAGGCATCAACCTCGCCTTGGCTTGGTCTTTCTGGAATCTTCACTGCGCTTTCCATAGACACAGCGCTGATTGATTGCCTCGTCAAATCTCCCATCATACATGGCGGAGCTAGAAGAAGCTAATATTTGTGGAGCCGGGGGCCGGTACTATAAAATCAAGATTATATAGAATTATATTTTAACTAATATTGCGTATGATATTTAAGAAATAATGGAGTTTTGAGTACCACGGCCATAGCAGCCCTGTGGCTCCACCCTATGCCCATTTTCAACTCGCGCTAGTAGCTACCCTGTAGCCTGCCCCCACACAGCAATATAAACTTGCTTGCTGATATGGATGGTTTGAAAAAGGTTTCTCGAGAGTTTGGCTTTGCCTGTGGTTCTAATGTTGTACGTTTTGCCTCAATATGAGATTGTGCTAAGACTACATCTACATGTGGTCTTAAGTTAAAGCTATGAGTATTCTTAAGTTAGACGCCCTATCGGTTTGTAATACGTTTACGGTCAGATTTTAGTCTTTGTGTGAGTGTGACCTAACTTTGCATTATTCTTAAAGCTATACATATATCTAATCCTTTGTTGTTTTAAAGGCTATATATCAGTTCAATTAGGGGTTCTTATTAAGGGCATGGC